ACAAATATTTTTTTTTTTTATATATTTCCTTTTTAAAACAACATAGATAATTATGCATAGCTAATTAAATACTGAATTAAATATTTATCTTTGCAGACAATATGCTCTGGGTTATAGAACATGATGTGAAAGCGTATCGTAATGCACCTTGTAATCCGTTGGATTTTCAGATTTAAGGCCAATGCGAAAACCCAAAGACGCCGACATTTTATTATGCTACTGTAATCGAAGATCCGGGGGGCATACAGTTTTTGTCCTGTCCACCTGTCTATTTGTCTGTTAGACTGTGTTAGCCTCTTTGTCCGCAAAAACTTTAACTATGCCCATAAAATTTGATTGGTTGGAACTACTGCTTTCATATTTCTTATGTGTATTCCTAGTAACAAGGACTTCCTTCAGGTACCGACATATTTGACCTCTTGACCTTGAACTTGGAGTTTGATCCTCTTTCGCAAAATTTTACCAAACTATAACCTTGGCCAAAACTTTTGAACAGTTGGTGCTACGGCTTTTATACTTCACATCTGTATCCCTTGTGATAAGTCTCCTCCTTGGGTATAAATATGTTTGACCATTTGACCTTGACCTTGGAGTTTGACCAACTTTTAAACAACTTTAGCCTTGACAATAACTTTTGAATGACTAGTACTAGGGCTTTTATATTACATAGGTAATTTTCTTGTGACAAGGCCTGTCATTGTATACCTTTAATTTTGACCATTTTACCTTGACCTTTGATTATGTCCTACTTTTGAAAAACTTTAACCTTGGTTTTAACTTTTGAACAGTTGGTGCTAAGGCTTTTTTAATACCACATGTGTATTCCTTGTAACAATTAAGACCTTCCCTCAAGTACAAACAATTATGTTCCCTTGACCTTGGAGTTTGACCTTTTAAAGAAATTAACCTTGGCCATAACTTTTAAACTGTTGCTGCTGTGGCTTTCATACAAGTATATATTTCACAGTATATTCTTTGTTCAAGACCTTTATTTGGGTAATAACATTTTTTTTTAGCTCACCTGAGCCGAAGGCTCAAGTGAGCTTTTCTGATCACTTTTTGTCCGGCGTCCGTCTGTCTGTCTGTCCGTCTGTCTGTCTGTCTGTCTGTCTGTAAACTTTTAACATTTTCGACTTCTTCTCAAGAACCACTGGGCCAATTTCAACCAAACTTGCCACAAAGTATCCTTGGGTAAAGGGGATTCAAGTTTGTTAAAATGAAGGGCCACGCCCTTTTTCAAGGGGAGATAATAAAGAATTAGTGAAAAATTAATAGCATCTTTTAAAAATCTTCTTCTCAAGAACCACAGGGCCAGGAAAGATGAAACTCAAGGGGAAGCATCCTCAGGTAGTGTAGATTCAAGTTTGTTCAAATCATGACCCCCGGGGGTAGGGCGGGGCCACAATGGAGGATCAAAGTTTTACATAGAAATATATAGGAAAAACCTTTAAAAATCTTCTTCTCAAGAACAGCAAAGACATGTTGAGTCATATTTATATGGAAGCATCCTCAGGTAGTGTAGATTCAAGTTTGTTCAAATCATGACCCCCGGGGGTAGGGCGGGGCCACAATGGAGGATCAAAGTTTTACATAGAAATGTATAGGAAAAACCTTTAAAAATCTTCTTCTCAAGAACAGCAAAGCCATGATCAGTCATATTTATATGGAAGCATCCTCAGGTAGTGTAGATTCAAGTTTGTTCATATCATGACCCCCGGGGGTAGGGCGGGGCCACAATGGAGGATCAAAGTTTTACATAGAAATATATAGGAAAAACCTTTAAAAATCTTCTTCTCAAGAACAGCAAAGCCATGATGAGTCATATTAATATAGAAGCATCCTCAGGTAGTGTAGATTCAAATTTGTTCAAATCATGACCCCCGGGGGTAGGGCGGGGCCACAATGGAGGATCAAAGTTTTACATGGAAATATATAGGAAAAACCTTTAAAAATCTTCTTCTCAAGAACAGCAAAGCCATGATGAGTCATATTTTTTTGGAAGCATCCTCAGATAGTGTAGATTCAAGTTTGTTCAAATCATGACCCCCCGGGGGTAGGGCGGGGCCATGATTGACTATCAAAGTTTTACATAGAAATATTTAGGAAAAATTTTTATAATCTCAGGAACAGCAAAGCCCTGATTGATCATATTTATGTGGAAGCATCCTCAGGTAGTGTAGATTTTATTTTGTTCAAATCATGACCCCCGGGGGTAGGGTGGGGCCACAATGGAGGATCAAAGTCTTAAATAGAAATATATAGGATAATATCTTGGAAGCATCCTCAGGTAGTGTAGATTCAAATTTGTTCAAATGATGACCCCTGGGATAGGGAGGAGCCACAATGGGGGATAAAATTTTTACAAAGGAATATATGGGAAATTTTTTTTGAACATCTCAAGTACAAGAAAGCCATTTGTTATATTGACATGGAAGCATCATCAGGTAGTTTAAAATTCAAGCCCCCCCCCCCCCGCGGTGGTAATCTTTTCAATACTGAACTCGTGCTTTTGCCTAGCCAATGTGCTCAGGTGAGCGATGTGGCCCATGGGCCTCTTGTTTTATCTTTTGATCTTGACCATGGAGTTTGACTTGCATTTGAGAAACTTTTAACTTTTGCCATAAGATGCCATATGGGGGCATCAGTGTTTCAAAAATCACATGTTGTTCAGTATCCAAATTGGGCATAAAACATTTACAATGATCCTTTAAAGCAGTGAGTTGAACCTAATAAATTACGACTATAGAAATTATGATAATTTATTTCGATGTATGGTCTAAAAAAACGTTTATTATACCTCTGTGAAAACTAGCTTACAAGTGAAAAATCATTAGTAAAATAGAATTTGATTGGCCGAGAAAGTCACGTGTCCATCATGTTTGCCCTGCAACAAAACGTCGTGTTTCACGATTGTGACGTCACAATTAAACGAGTGAGGAGTTAGATTGTTTATAGCGACGCTGCTAACTTCGTTCGCGCGGTAACAACAACTAAAAATTCACCCCAAAAAATCACCTTAATTAATGGAATTGCATACAGATATTAGATTAAACGTTCTTTATTAAAATGTTTGCACTTTTCAAAATTCGTTTATGGAAATACAGCTAACATACGTCATGAGACGTCACAGTCTAGACGTTCCAAATGTCTCGTGCTGTTTGAAGAGGCGGATCTTAAAATTAAGTGAACAATGCACTCGCCCAACGGTCGCACCGTCAGCATATTATCGTTGATTGATTGTGTCGATTTAAATGTGTAAAAATGTAATGGTGTTTGAATGTTACTGGTGTGATCACACAAACTTGTCACGTAGGATTTTTTTTTAATGAAACGAGGCTATTGGTGTACCTGTAACTTACATCTCTTTCATATCGTTCTCATCAAATGCATGTTTGCTTTATTCATTGGATCTCCTTTGTAATTCCTGCATTTTGGTTAATTCGGTATTATAAACAATTTATTGCATAATAGTGAGGGAGACATAAAGATTTCTTCGCAAATGAAAAATCATATTTCTCTCGGGCGTTGCCTTCGGGGAGTATGATTTTTCATGGGCGAAGAAATCTTCAAGTTGCCCTCGGGGAATATGATTTTTTATAGGCGAAGAAATCTTCATGTCTCCCTCACTATCATGCAATAAATGCAAACTGTGAACTTGTCAACTGCGAAACACACAAAAGGGTATCGCTGATATCATACAGAGTGTATCATTGCCTTGATCAGGCCCATAGGAAGCAAATTCAGGGGGTTTTTTTTGGGGGGGGGGGCACAGCCATACATTTTCAGTTGACAGTTGAGGGGGCACTACTACCATAAATTTCCTGACAAGCAAAAAAAAGGTCACCAACTACCAAAAATTCCTTGACAAGCAAAAAAAAAAAAGAAGGTTATCAGACGTTTCTATTGAGGTGGCACAAGCTATAGTATCTATGTCTACTATAGTAATCTATATATCGGCAAAATTATTGGGGGGCACGCCCCCCCCCCCCTCGTTTCCTACAGCCATGTTGATTAAATTTAGGGTCACTAAGGAAAGAATGTTTTGACTGGATGAATGGTCTGAAAGAATATGTGTGAACTTGTCGAGTCGGTAACACATAGATGGGGTTTGCTTATAACCAGAGTGTGTCATGGTTTGATGCAAGGTCATTTGAACGAGTTCAAGGTCATCAACGGAGAAACAACATTCCTTAACTGTCTTTCTACTGGTGAGACATTGCAAGTTGATACCCCTTACAAGATTGCTTATAACCTTAGAATGTGGCATGACCTTGACTCAAGGTCACTTTTTCCTGTTCGCAGCTCCAACGGAAGACCTACTCGTTGCTTTGCAACGAGCTCTGCTCTAGTTATATGTAATTATTTAATAAAAAAAAACACTACGTATTGTAGACCTGATGGGATATCTGTCTACCACTGAATAAAGAATTGACTGAAGAAGGATTTCATTTTGTTGTCCTCGATTTAAGATACCGTCATATTGATTTATTAAAAAAAAAAAATCCTAATACACCATTGGAATGTTTACACGTCAAATAGCTACCCTCGAAAATATTGCCAAATACATGTATTTGATTTTGGGGAACAACATTTTTTTTTTAAATAAATAACTAAACGAAATAATTTAGATCAATAACATCAGAAGGTATTGAAAGAAATCATGCGACTGAAATTGATCGCTAGTAAATAAAACACGGATAATTTTAGTACTGTTCCAATTCAGATAAATCATAAATTTCTTTTGTGAAATCTGAAAAAAAAAACACGAGAATACTCCAATCTTATATTCGTATTTGAATATCAACTCATCGAATGAATATTCGAGTACTAGTATTTGAATATTCGTTGACATCCCTCAGAGATGAAGAATATTGAACATGATTTAAAAAAATGAAATGTAAATGAAATGAAAAAAAAATCGTTCATCGAAAGACATAGTTTTAGTATATATTATACAATATTTCTTCATGAAAGACATTGTAAACAGTGCATAAAATTAAACTACGGTATACATGATAAACTAGTTTGTAAAATACTAGTAGTAAAAAAAAATTAAAAATTAATACATCAGTGCGAAGAACATTCACGTGTTTGTAGTTGATACTTACACAAAAGAATTATCTTTATTAATGAATTTTAATCTCTTCCTTCTATTGAATCATCGCTAGAACTAGAAGAAGAGTCGCCGCTATGATGATGTTCCAATTTTTTCTTTGGTATTTTACTCAAATGGCCCTGAGATCCTGAATCATTTTGTCGAAAATCAGGAAAGCTTCGATTTTTATTTCTTTTCTTTTCAGTGCGTCGTATAAGCGATTCATAATACTTGTATCGCTTGCTTAAGGTTCTTTGTAAAAATAACCTCTTTTTCATCACATACTTTGACAATTTTTTAGTTTCCCTTGAATCGTCTTTCGACTCCTTTTCGTCGAATTTTTTTAGCTTTTCTATGAGTCTTTTTGTTTTTGACATTTTTATCTGGTCACAAATCTCTAGGTCTAGCCATAACATGACGAAAAGCCGCCCTAGTGTATCTTCTTCAGAAGCAATGTTCTTCTTTTGAATTTCTTTCGCTATTTTTACCATGATTCGCCTATAAACCGGATAAAGTTTGACAGAACAAGGCATTTTTCTCACGTTGTCTTGAAAGAATGAATCCAGTATATTTTCTAAATCATCAAGACGTCCGTAGAAGTCGTTGTCTTGTAGGGATGGAGAATGGAAGGTAAAGTCATTTTTGTGTTCCTGATCGGTTGTGAATATTCCTTGAATATTCTTATTATTATCATTTGTTTCTTTCTTGTAAATTACCGGAGAGACATCCGATACCAAATGATTATCAGAGTTGGAAAACGCATGAGGATCCGGTATAACGGGAACATTTAACCTATGTTGGCTAGAACTTGCACCTATATCGAAAGATCCTGATTGACTAGTAAATTGTGAAGTGTGAGTTGTATGTGGTTTGTAAGAATCATGGAATTCAGACATAAACGGATGTTTAAACCTTTCTGATATTGAATTTGTTACCCATGCTGGAACATTCCTTTCGCCAGATAAGGCTGCTGGTGCTATCACCATATTGAAATGATCTACCACACTCTCTCTTTCGGAGAATTCATCGTTTAAAAGTATTCCAAAACTGTTAAATTTGTTTGCTACGTTGGGGTTTTCTTCAAGTGTAGAAGGGAAGACAGTATGCTGAATATTTCGAATTAAACTGTTATCATCTGTGTTCTCAAAATTTGGAACAAAATCGTTTGGATGGTTCTGTCGGATAGCTTCTGACAATCCAGAACGTAAAGATGTAAGAGGGAGCTGTGGCTGCAGATTATCTGGTAGAATTTTCTTGTGCTTTGTAAATCTATTCGACATTGGAGCCACTTTACGAAAAGCATGACTACTTAGAAATGTGCCAGAGACATCAGTCGGGTTTTGGGATAGAATTCCACTGAAAAATCCAGTCTATAAAGATATAAAATTGATTTTATATTGACTGTGTACATATATTGCATACTAGCATTTACATATCGAAGTTTACAAACGGTTGATTTTGTGCATATTACATCCTTCTCTGAAGCTAAAAAAACTTTCTATTTCAGGGACTCCTGCGTACTCTATGCACGTTTTAAAGCAGCCTTACCACTGAAAAAAGTATTACCAAAAGAATTCAGTACATTTTTTTGTTACAAAAAAGTATATAGGAGCATTTATTTATGGACACAACGAAAAAAATATTTAGTCCTTTTTTCAAATAGATTTAGTTAAAAAATACTCAACGTGCAAGTAACTCTGGAATGTTTCACTGATAATTATATTGTTATTCAATTATTCAAGTACACTGAGTTCCTCTGCGTGTTTCATACTTCTAGGTCATTAAATATCGTGATGAAACTGTGCTTTGTCACCAGTGAAGGTTTATATCCTAAAAAGTAAGATTCGTGGTAATCTTCACCGTAAGCTGTTTTCATGACGGATGTTCAAAGGAAAGTCGAGGATGTGTAAATGTTACTCCAAGGGATATCGTCATATATTTAACAAAAATGCCTCATCTTCCAATTTACGATTTGCATTTGTTAAACGTTGACCACATCATTGCTTAAGAATGGCCGCATCATTAATTAAGAATTTTTGTGTAAAGAAAACTTGATTTTATTTTCATAAAACATGAGTCGGCTGCAACAGTGACATGAAGAATATTGTTAACTTAACCTTTCATGTAGAAACCCCAAGTTAGTTTTATCCTAGAACTAAATGGAAGATTAAAACTCATGGTCACAAAGTGGTTTTAACCTACTGAAGATTTCTAGAAATTAATACGTTAAATATCATATCCTATTTCTTATTGTTAAAGTATAAAAATGTCCCTTTTCCCCAAAACACACCGTGAAATTCAAACGCAGTAAAATAATGCTCTCTAAAAAGTCCTATAACATGCTAAATATCGATTTCTGCATTTTTAAGGTTCTAAATGTGTAAAGCAATATTTATGAAGGTCAAAGGTAAAGTTCATGGTCATGGGCTAATAATCTCATTTTTTTTTTTTCGAAAAGTCTTATATGAAAGGAATCTAACCCCAAATCGTACGGTTATTTCAAGGTCGATAATTAAGGTCAAACATAAACGGTTAAAGAGATTAATCGAATATTTAAAGTTCAGGTCATCTTTAAAATAATGTTTGTTTGCCCTCTCTCGACTCTGGACAAAAAATTGGGTCGGTAGGTAGGTGGGACATTTTTTTCCAGAAATTTTCAACATCAATGCTGAATGTTCAAAATCTACTAAGGATGAAGGTTTTCATAAACTTAAAAAAATTGTTTTCGGGATAAAAAAAAATTCTGGAATAAATTTTAAAAAAAATCGTTTCCTGGAGGAAAAAAGTTTTGAGTCTGGCTATTTTAGCCAGTCGGTCGGGAGAGGGCAACTCAGATTTTTTTAAAGATGGCCTCAAGTTCAAAAAGTCACATCGACCATAAGCATAATGTCGTGTGGAAGATATATTAATTAGCGATATACAAACTAAATACCAAGGCCATATTTTTTTTGACTTTCAAAGAATTTAAGGTGAGATTAACATTTCAGAAATAATGTCTAAGTGAAGTAAGGTTACAATAAAAATAACCTTGATATTTGCAAAAGGACACACGACAAACATTGCATATGTAAATCATCATGGTCCTATATCGTTACCAATGTTCATTGTAATTATTGTAATAGTGAGTCAAATGTCAAGTTCAAGATCACCTATAATCCTGGTATTGCACAAAAGCTCGTTTGCCAATAAGTACTTCTACTTGGCAAAATATACGATATTCAAGATGTATATCACTGCTATGCAACGTCGCAAAAATATCTCAAAAACATGTTACAGCGTTGTTTGTTTGTGATTATTCTTACATATTTATATCAGTATCTATGAAGAAAAAGAAATCAGCGACAGTTCCTGTGAAATAAATTGGTCATGAAAGAAAGGATTTAATTATGTGTTTTTAAAATTCTTATATAATATAAATTGTTGAAAATTTTCATCGTAACAAAAAAGATTACCATTATTTATATTATTGTTATTAATTATGAAACGGCTAAATAATTTAAACCAATAATACTACTGTTATAACTCACCAATAATAACACTGCTATCATCATGCTGATTAAGAAGCTGACGCTGGCCGTTGATTCTCTTTATATATATTTTAGTACAGGTAATTTTTAGCACTCCTCTTCTACCTTCTAACCTGTAAGTTCATTACATCGTTTGAAGATTTGTCTTCATAAAACATCAACAAATGGTTTCAACTCCCACGATGTCCATCAAAATATTTTTAAAATGCTCGCATTGCAAGGAACAAGACATTCCTCATTCAGCTATTGATATTTGACATTTGGGGTAAACATTTTCTCCTCATCCCTCCCACCCCAATAATATGACAAACAGAACCACATTTTCATTTTAAATTGGAGCAAAACTATCATGACACAGATTTTACGCAAGGTGTACAAGCCTCTTGACCAGTACATCGAATTAAGTACAGTAACTACTAGTAACTGAGGTAGAAATGAAACATTTACATAGGCAGCTGGGGCCAATATATTTTACGTCTGGGCAGCACTCATCCGGATCCTTTCAACTGCTGTTAAGTATTCTTGAGATTTATCTTTCAATCGCACAATCTAAAATTTGGCTTAATGATATTACTAGTATATAATAAAAAAATTGCCCACTAAAAGTAAGTTATCGAAACAATCTTTTTAATGATAAAATCTACTCTGAATCCCAGATGCACATAGTTTCATTATTTATTTTCATTTTAATCTAAAATGTCTACATGAATATAACTAGCAATTAAGCTCAAATTGAAGTCCACGGAAACCATGAAAATTGGGAGCAGAACAAACACGCGACCTTTAAAAAAACATCAAAGTGAGATCAGGTGCCATGGAGGAGTAAGCATCCCCTCTCGACCGGTCACACCCAGCCGTATGCTCCTTGTTATGATCAGGGAAATTGAAAAATCCGTAGACAATTTGTGTGAAAATAATGACATATCATTTTGTATGAAAAGAGTCGATCAACATTCTACTTAATGATATACTGTATTTGGTGACAAGGTTTTTGTATCGACTATAGAATTTTCGAAATGTTTACTTAAAACGAGACTTGATATCCTTGTATCATCAACGTATTTGTCAATGGCTTGCCTAGTTTTAGAAATTGTCGTACGTAATGCATGCCCTTGCGTATCGAATCAACTGGGAGACATGCAAGTGATAATGGTATATTGCTACATAAATAAGGGAGTGACGTATATAAAGAAAATTATAAGTTAACGAGAATTTGAAATTCGGAGGAACTATAGAAGCTAATCTTAAGACAAAAGTTGCTTGTGGCTCAAGGGTATTGGAAAAAGGTCAAGGTCAAGGTCACTGCTTTAAGAGGTTTAAAGATTTGTTTTCGTCAAAAATCTAAATTAGAGAGGAATTAGATTAAACGGGGTAAAAAGGTTGCATGAATTGTAGAATTCTTCTTCAATTCAATGTTGTCGTAATGAAATAGTTTTAGAAGATCATACATGTTTGAGGTTATCATGATCATAGGACATGTCATGACCTTACAAAAAGATCATTAGACAGAATTAAGGTCACAGGTTCAGAAGTGTCGAAACCGTCGAAATATGGCTAATATATTGCCGACTCGGCGTTATAAAATATCAATTAATCAGAAGTGTCAAATGTAAATGTCAGACAAAACCGTGTGCTGGACGAGCATCTTCATGGAGGCTATACTTAATACAACAAGACGCCCATGGGACACATCGCTCACCTGTGCACATTGGCTAGGAAAAAAAGCGAGAAATCAGTTTAGCATTGAAAAGATTAAATATATGTGATCCGGGGGGCATGATTCTTTTAGAAGATTTTCTTCTATGTGTTTGATCTTCTATTGTGGCCCTGCCCTACCCCCTATGAACATGACTTGAACAAATTTGAATCTACACTACCTGGGAATGCTTCTGAATTATAGTCATCTTGGATTTTCTATTCTTGGGAAGAAGATTTTAAACAATCTATCCTATGTATTCCCATGTAAAACTTTGATCACCAATTGTGGTCCCTCCCTTACCACTGTGGTCATGATTTGAACAAACTTGAATGTAAACTACCCGAGGATGCTTCCTTATAGATATGTCTAATCATGGCTTTGCTGTTTTTTAAAAGATTTGTACTATGTCATGAAGCTTTCACTTAAGTTTTATCTTTCATGGCCAAGTCGTTCTCGAGAAAAAGATTTGTAAATGACCCCACTCGATTTTCACTTTTTCTTAATTATCTCCCCTTAAAAGAGGGTGTGGTCCTTCATTTATACAAACTTGAAACCCCTTTAACCAGGAATACTCTGTGCCAATTTTGGTTGAAATTGGACCAGAGGTTCTGAAGAAGTAAATGAAATTTTAAAAAAGTTTACGATATAAGAACAACGACAACAGACAACGGACAAATTTTGATCAGAAAAGCTCACCTGAGCCTTCGGCGGTTCAGACGAGCTAAAACTGATTCTGACCTAAAGAATGCCAAGATTTGTAGCCATGGTTTTTGATAAAGACAATTTTACATGATTCAACTTTTTTTAATCATAATTATGTAATGCTAGGACTATAGAGTATCGCACTTTCATACTCAACACAACAATCCCTCACGACCTCTATTAACAACCTTCTACTATACTTCAACAGGCCACAGGAATTTTCAACAGGCCACAGGAATTTTCAACAGGCCACAGGAATTTTCAGTTTAATGTATAGTATACTTTTCTTGCAAGATCGCACATATCTTTTTATTGCTTCTTAAAAAGAATTACCCCGTGGGGGAATAGGTTCTATTAATAGTGGAGAATTTTTGTAAAATAAGTAAATAAATAAAATTCAAATAATTTTTGAAAAATACAAT